AGCACTGTAACTACATTCTGTTGTTCAGTCACCATCCCTTACCTCCTGTTTTCAAATGAAAACCAAAGAAACCTTCCTCGCTTCCTTTTCACAAAGCTCTGCACATGCAATCACCACTTTTCAGGCCAGCAGCGGCTGCAATTCTACAGTAAATGACACACACCCACAAGGTTATGTACTCAGTAACCTTTGTGAAGGCACCCTGGGATCCATCTCAAACACTACAGGAATCCACTGGGATTCAAAGCCCTTTCTAAATCTAAGATCCTTGTCATTCAGTCAGTGCAATAGATATTGGCAAATTTCGTTTAACTTTAAAATAACATTTGTTTAGCAATGATAGAATAAGGGTCTGCCTAAATTACAGAACTCTATTCCATAATCCATAGGTATTAAATCCTTCATTTCTCAGAACTCACGTGAAACTCTGTAAATCTTGCAGGTATTTTTCATCTGTAAGTGTCTTCAGTTCTTCTCTCGGACACTCTGCATGTAGGAGTACAATAAACTGACATCCCCTCCAAGAATAAATGAAAGAGCAGCATGGGAGCAAGTGAAGTCTGAATAAAATCATGCTTTGAATTCCTTGCTCATGGAAAACAGTGCTTACTTTGACACCAAAGAGTGCCTGGATTTCACACAATATCCCTTATACAAATTCCCATGAGTTTCAGCCTTTCTCAAAAACAAGCTGTCCACATGTCAAACCAATTTATGCAAAAAGGAATGCCTTAAAGCTATAAATGGGAACGCCTCCACTGCACAACTTGATCTCACCAGGAAACAGCATATGGAATATTCAGCACAAACCACCTTTGCAGATTTACAGACCAACGAGGCTAAAAAGCCAGGTGTCAAACACTGAGCAGAAAAGCTAGAACAGATTCACTATCTAACATTTCATTAGAGTGAGACCCCCAAATCACAAAGAGAAGGTTTAGCAACAGAGGAGCAAGCTGAATTGCAGTGTAGCAAAATTTGCTTAGAAACTATCAAAGCCAGCCACCAGAAAACAGGAGCATAGTGGATTTGAGGTAAACATTACTTATTTCCTTTCTACAGGCTTTGAAGAATGCAGCATGTACATCACAAGGCTTTTATGATGGACCTAGCTAATTTGAATATTCATTATAGTTTCTCTACTACGCTATCTGGAAGGGCACAGAAACAAACCAGCTCTGCCAGGTGACCAAAGAAGAAAAGCTTTCAGGAGCAAAAACTCTCAGGCACTTCCCCAAGCCTCCTCTCTCAACACCATTCCTCTGTATTTAGACAGAAGTTCAAAATCCAGAGCAATGCCTGCAGTCATTTTTCATTCAATTATATTTCACGGGTAAGATGTTCAAAAGTGACCTCTAATTTCAGAAAATGAAATCCCCGAGAACACACTCAGATATCCAGGGACTAACTTCAAAACTGCCAGGCAAAACTGGCACTGACACCTCCTGCCCAGTGCTTCAAATATGCTATTTTGGCTTTGTGTTGAAATGAGGATTTAGAATTTTAAATCTAAGGGGACACAGCTTAGTAGTTTGGTTGAAGTACGTGAAATAAATATTTTTGGGAGCTTAGCTTTAGGAAAAGAATCAAGTCTGAGGGCAAGGAAGTGACGAGGAAAGCAAGGGTGCTGACTTTAAGCTGCAAGGCTCTAAAATATTGCAAAAAACACATAAACATCCACACAAAAATATCTTACATGAGTCAGTAAATACATGTACATACTCTAGGACTGCAGCCATGTTGTTAAGCTTTCTCTTCTGCTGTATTTTGCCCCTAAATGAAAGCCATTCTTCCTTCTTTCATCTCACAAAATGAGAGCACCTTTTGCTCCCTCTGAAGAACTACTGTATCTCCAGAATAATGTATTTTTAGCACTTGGGTATGAGCTTTGCTTCCTTGTGACTACCAAGGAAACTGATTCAGTTCAGTAATCCAATGAAAAACAACTTTTTTTTAAATAAATTCCATTATTAGTGGCATCATTACTATTACATTCCAAATATTCAGGACCTTGAGCTCAAGAAAATAAAATTTAGATTTTTTTTATGCCAAAATATTTTCCAATTTTTTTTGCAAAAGCCTACATGCTGGAGCCTAGCCCAAAAATCCACCATCATTCAGGTTACATTTAGTCAGTGACCCTATGTTGAAACTGATCACAGTCTAGTAAAGCATGGTATGCAAAATCAGCTGCAGAACTGCAGCAGCTGAAGGCACAATCCTCTTTTAGGATGAGGGAGAGCAAGGCTGAGCCCTAAGCTTAAAGACCATAGAGCTCATAATGATGCAACAAGTCCACTGGAGGGTCAAGAGGCACCACAGACTGAAAGGGCAGCAGGTGTTTGCTAACAGGATTCCAACTCAGTGTTGACTAAAATTTCAATTTTTCAATTAGATGATGTCTGTTTGAAATGCCTAGAAGTCAAATATAATTGTTGTCAGCCTCTAGAAACTGTGAGAAGGAAAAACAGCTAATAAAAAACTTGAAGCCTTCAATACAGACCATAAAAAATCAACAGATTTTTTTTTTTTTTTTTGAGGGGGGGGGAAACTTGCTTACTCTTCTAAGACTACTCTAAGTACAGTGGATCAGAGATACTACTGACAAAGTAAGAATACAGAAACAAACACAGTGAAGAGTAATCAGTAATTCTACCAAAGGCAAGAGAGATCCTGTGAAGGTGAAACCTGTAAGGGGACACCCTTGACATTCAAACGTAGTTGCAAGGAACCACTGGTATCTCCTGTAACAGGAAAAGAGGAAAGGACCTAAGCTAAGTCAGTCATTCTTTTCAGGGAAGTCTGAATGACAAAAAGCCTTGGAAGTGCTGACCCCACATTAAAATTACCTGGGTCTCTGATTAATAACCCTTGATCCTTCTGAATATGTATACAGTAATAGAATGAATATGCAGGAACCTGTATCTGAATTCAACCCGTAACAAGAGGGGGAAAAAAATAAAACCATAATCAAGGAAAGAACAAGTGTAATGCAAAGGAAGTGGCATATATTTCAAATAATTATTGAAAATGCTTTTAAAATCTCACTACCTTTGCCATGCAATGTATTCAGTGAAGTTATTTGCAACAACCAGGCTTTAAAATAGACAGATCATAAAAGGGCAAGAGGTTTCCTTTTCTTTTCCAAACTCATTTTCTTATATCATGGCCTATGGATATTGTGGAAAATAAAATTCACTAAGTTGATAACTCTATTCCAAATAGTCATACATCAAATGACATTACAAACAAGCACTGTAATCAGCAACAGGTCAGTCAATTGTATCTATTTCAGAACTTCAATTCCAAGATTAACTGCTTCATATTTTATTTGGTAAAAGCTGTTACACAAGGCACATGGAGAGATCAAAGGCTTTAAAAAACAGCTAAGAGAGTGAAAATAAAGACTATTATTAATATGAAACACTATTTTATAAAGTTGCTAGGGAATGAAAAAAGGGTGAAGCTAAATTCTAATGGAAGATATCAGCTTGCTGCTGCTTGTTTATCTTACAAATAAAAACATAGCTTTCTTTCTGGGAAGTACACATCACCTTTAAGGAAGTACACTGACTTCAGTTTTAATAACCTCAACCAAACTTCTAACCAATAAAAATATGTCTGATTTGTTTGGGGTTTCTTCTTCCAAAATCCCCCAACTGCAGGTAACTCTCCAAAACCAAGCCAAATTCATCACTTGTAACAGATTTTGCCCAATCCTTATTTGGATTAACTCCTAATCAGCCTGCTAGTTCTTACCTTCTCAAATCCTTTTACCTTTACTACTTCATTTCAGCAACAGTTTGCCCAGGGCTGTTTAAAGAGGCAGCTTTGGCCATACCTGAGCAGATCCCAGGCAGCACAGACACACCTAAGAAATGCATGCAGGTGAAGCAGTCACCTACGTGGGGCTACAGTGTACCACAGGGATAAGTTCTCAGAGTGAATCTTTCAAAAGCACCTAGGAAACCACCCCAATCATTTTCAGACTGAAACGCTACCAAAAAACCCAGGTTTGAAGATGTGCATCCAGATAGATCAAATCAAAACCATAAAAACATCTCTGACAACTGGCTAAGCTGCAGTATTGTCAAGTGCAACCTACTTGCTCATTTGGGCAAATAAGACACCTTGGCACATTCCCCAAACTGGTATTTTGTCTCTCCCCCCGCCCACCCCTTGTTTTTTCTGCTTAAATGAAAGATTAAGATTTTGCTTAAATGAAATATTATCAGTCACTGGAATCCAAACACAAGACAGAGAAGAGATACCACAGTGTGTGTTAGTTACAGCAGTACAGAAACAGTTAAAAACCATAAATATGTTCTGTATCCAAATTAGTGGTTTGCTGAATTCAAATTCTCGTAACCAATTTCTCAAAGAAAATCTTCAAATGCAGTGAGGAACAACTTTTATGCCTGTTAACCTTTTCTGCTTAAGCTCGAAGCACTAGACTTTCCCACTGTGTAAGAGGGTGTGAGAAGACTGAAGCAAATTTTAAATCCTTATGCAAACTTCTATGGGCAATGTCAGCAGATGTCTCCGTGTTCGCTCTGTCCTTATAATGATTACGTTGTGCTGCTTGCCAAGATTTCAATGACCACTGACTTTTTGTGGGACGTGAATTTGTAAAGTTTGATAGAAGGTTTATATGTATGCATTTGTGCATCAAATGACATTGCAAACAAGCGCTGTAATCAGCAACATGTCAGTCAATGGTATCTATTTCAGAACGTCAATTGCAAGATTAACTCTTTCATATTTTATTTGGTAAAAGCTCTTGTTTTATCTTATTCACTAAAACCACGTGTCAGTTCAACGAGGGGTGGGATCCTGGATCCACCTGTGCTCAGAACGACTGAGATCAAAACTGGATCTTTACAACACACATTGCTACCAGTTCAGCCAATATGCAGAATGCCTCTGGCACATGCAGCACTGCATTAGAACACGTTTTCCAACTCGTAACCTCCTGCACTCTACACCAAAGGAGCACTTACTGCCATTGTCGTCAGAGTCCTCGCTGCTGCTAGGAAGCCGCTGGCGTTTCATGATCTCCCCGGGAAACAGCAGGCAGCCTGGGAAGCAATGAGACAGCACTTAACCCCAGGTAATAACACACACTCATCAACTCCTGCTTCTGATGGCATGCGAGCATTTACAGCACACAAAGGAAAACAAACAACTCCACCAGCAGCTCAAAGATGAACAGTGAAGCTCTCAAGGGTGCTTAATTAGGCTGCTATCGTATGAGCAGGTGAACAAGGCTGGAGAGTGGCAATGACAATCCTTTCCCCCCACCAAAACACTGTGTTTGTGCTGAGAGGTGTTAAAATCACTAAATATCCGCAGCCAATGTGCTTCGCTTCCCCTGCCTATTCTGACACTGGATTCGCAATACAATAACGTTTTTACTGCTTGTGTAAATATTTACATTGGCTAATATATTTTTGGAGCGATTTTGTTCCTGTTTTAAGTGCCAGATTTACGAAATCAGAGATTAAAGTCATCCACTTACACATAAAAAGCAAAACATCAGCAGTAGCAAGCCCAGTTTTCCCAGATTAACTAAACATGCATCATCTATGCCCTGGAAAGCACCACCCTCTAAGATGAGAGAGTTACTTCCTCCTGCAGGCACATTTCTAGAGCCATGCCTAACACTAACTGTTCTTTGGGAGTAAGATTATTCAGATGATTATTCAGATGTTCCTCCAAATTGCCAGATTTCTACCAATACCGAATTCATGGGCACATGCCCATATGATAAAAGAATCATTTTGGCCTCTTTCTGTGATAAAAAGGCCAAAAATTCCAAATCTTTTTAACTGCAGTTCTCTCGGCACTGACATTTTCACGTGTATTCCCTGTGGAACAAAGCCAAATTCAGTAAAAACAAAGAAGCTGTACATAGCTAGTCAGTATTTACATGTAAAAAGCTATTAAAAAGTGCAAGTTGAAGAGCAGACAAAAACATGATAAGACAAGTCCAGAAAGGCATAGCCACCATAAGTTAAACTGACAAGGACTCTAGATGCACATCAAAACCCCTGAGTCTTCGCTTACCACATATCAGTTGTGGTATCAACAAGGTCTGGGCACTCTGCTGGCAGCAAATCCCTCATACCTACCTCTGCACACAGATTTGGAGATTAGATACCAAAATATTCCTTTGCTTCTAGCTAAGTGCAGAAAATTTAACCTTGCTTCCATGTGAGTTCAGACTTCCCCAAACCCTCTTAGCAAAACTCTTACCATTGGTCCTTCGGTGTAGGAATTAACTGCTCATTTTAAGAAATTCAATAATGCTTTCAACTTTTGTAAGACTGATTCCCAAAATAAGGAAACCCAAAAAGCCTAACAAAGCCTGACACTATTTACAGTAGAGCACAAAAACATCTGCTCTTCCAGAAGCAGTTCATCTAAAAAGAATTTTATTTTTGAGGGAATTCATTTTGTCACCGCTAGCAAGTAACAAGCAACTGAATCTGAGACTCTATTTTACACTTGCAGAGAACTTAATACAGTTCTAAGAGCAGGAGCATTGCAGGATGGCCTCCTTTTTCACATTACACGTGCAAATAGGGCTGGGGGGAAGCCTCCCTCCCACAGAGTGACTTTTCAGAGTGGGATTTAATACACCTGTCATTGAATCGTGTACCAGTTTTGAACTGCAAACTTTGCTCACTAAAGAGAAGCTGAATGATTCACCTCACCAAGACCTTTTGTCACCATTTCATAGAGTAAAATTTCACATACAGTGTCTGATGCCAGAGAATAAAGAATCATCAATGGGAGCCTCTTACAGGGCTAGAAGAATTCTCTCCAGAAATTGCTTTGAAGCAGGCCAGAACTTTGTGTGTATTGGAGATGGAAATGCTGCCAGTGGATAAATACCCATACCAGCCAGGACCATCAAAACCCACTGAATATACACCTGGTATAAATTTAAGAGATCCAGAGCCAAGCTCCTATTTAGTCACTCAGACAGAAAGCCAATACTCAGATCCAAAACAGGCTAAGACAGAACTGAAAAATCAATTTGTTCTTACAAGGCCAAAACCAGGGGGATGAACATCTATCTGTAAGGTACTTTTTCTATTAGTTCACATATTAATAACAGCAATGTAAAAGAAGATACTCACTTAGCAAAAATGACCATAAACAAAGTAAAGAAAATTTGGAAGAAAATGCAGGAAAATTGTCCTGTCTCAGAAGTGTAATTTGTATGTTTCTGGTTCACTTCTTGATTTATTTCCCACACAGTCTGAAAAGCACAATACACTGTTAAGCAAAGCAACAGAGTTTATGTACAGTAGGACACACCTGTGAACTTGCAACAAACAAGAAAATTTGGAGTTCTGTTTCTTCACATCTTTCTGGACAAGTTCATTTTTACTTGATCTTCCCCTAACATACATTCTGCAAATTCAAAAAAATAAGGAAAGAGATGGAACCTTCTTGCTCCTACCACGTGTCTCTAAAAAACAAACCAACCATCCCCTTTTTGGTTGCTTTTTGAAGGAAAGAGTGGTAATCACACCTCCCAGTTTAAGCACTCTCCAGAGTTTTTCAGGAAATAAGCCAGAGCAGAAGCCACTTTCCTGAGCACAGAGTATTAGATAAGATAGTTAATTTCCTTGTCCACTCTAGTCAGGCATCTGAAGTTGGCCACACTGAAAAGCCTGTGTTCTCAATAATAACATTAAAAGAAATATCCTCTTTGATGAAGCTCCTGGGAGATTGTTTTATAGATCCATGTGGAGGAAAAAAAAAAAATTAAAACTCAGAGATCTGATTTTCCCATTTTTGAACCTAACCTGAGTTTACAGGGAGCTAAATCACAGACGAAAAACCAGCATTTGGCTTCTTAGAGCAAGACTCAAACCTCGTAAGATTAACCCCCTGGAACTTTTGTCACTAGAACTGCTTTTTTCAGCCTCTAAAATAATTTTAAACAGCTGCCACCAGATGTTCATATGCACACACCAGAACACATGTTCTAGAGACAGCACTGGAATAGCTAGTGAGACTTAGAACCATGCAGATTGAAATCCTACTGGTTTCTGTCAGGTGGTGGGTGACCCAAAGTCACACAAGAAACATGCTAAAAAGTGTACATTAAAAACAAAGATGGGTTAGGGATAGTGAGGGTTAGATGCAGACTGATACTGCAAATTTTTGCCCTGTTCCAGCAGGCATACACTATGATCACTATGGCTGTAAGCAAAGAGAATTCCTATGTAAGCACAAAAACAGTAAAACATTCGAGACCAGCTTTAATAGCGGGAGTAAAAGCTATGCACCCCAGCCTGCAACACTTGCAGGGCAGGAAGAGACACCCAGATGACTGAGCTCAATTCCTAAGTGCCTGCAATCACAAAATTGCTGTCCAGCCCAGTAGTTCCCACAAAAATCCCCTGCACCCACCCATACCACAGAATGAGCTCCCAAACCCCTCTGCAGAAGGAACAGCGCTCTGAAGCGAGGACACAGTCGGTCAAGCAGTGCTTGTGGGTGAGCCCTGGATTTCCTAACAAACATTTCTATACCTGTTTATCCCAAATTCTTACACCAGCCCCCAAAGGGTGTTTGCCCAACACACTCTTCACCTGAAGAGAAAGCCCAGCACTTCAAAAGCTGCTGCAGAGTCCAACAACCCTAAGCTGACAAAGGCTGCATCACCAAGCCACACTCTCTATCACCTTCCAGTGACTCCTGTGAATTCTTAGTAACTCAGCAACTTTTATATATAAACTTTCAGTTTCATTTCCTCAAAAGACAAAAGTTTCTTTCTGTTAAAATCATCCTTTCAGAAATCAGTCAGTCCAACACAGAGCATGCTGATCATGTTTTCTCCCAACACTCTAGTTAACATTTACCAACTCATCAGGGAGGAACCAAACTGGGCTCAGGCTAATGCCAGCCTTCAGCCAAACAGCTTCCAAGAAACAGCCACCATTCTGCTGGCAATGGTACTCCAATTCCATGGGCAGCAAAGCATCCAAGAGCACTTCATGGAAGCACATCACCATGATAAATGGCACCAATTATGCCTTTTTAGTCCTCAGTCACCCTCAGATGAGCTGGCCATAGCAGGGCAGCACTGTGAGGCCAAACACAGCTTACAACACACCCTACTCTGCTTTTCCAGAGGCTGAAGGTGCTGCTCTGTTTTCCAGAAACACATCACCAGTCGCTTTTCCATCCTTTTTAATCATGCTTGCTTAAGCTTCGGGTTTTACTCAATTATTAGTTACAAACTTTAAACATAAGAATGCAACTCTGGACTTTGATGGTGCCTTCGCTCAAATTGGTTTTGAAGGCAAAATTACACCACCTGAAACTGACTCCTGTATTTTGGAGAGCGTGGGAAGCCTTTTTCAAAACACTTGTAAATGCTGTGCAAATGAAATGACAGGACAATAATCCAATATAATCAATGTCAGGCCACACAACAGCATTTGAATTTATATATCCTTGTGGAGCTGAGCAATAAACATCTTAATCTACACAAACAACTAGATGCAGGTAGGCATACAGACTTTGTTGTCCACTTCCCAGTATTGGATGACAGATGCAGTGCAATGGGTTAGACTCAGCAACCTGACAGAGCACAGCAAATTCATTATTTTTAGCAGTGTTCATTACCATGCTACTCCCTCCTTACCTCTCCAAGAGATAAATTACCAACAAAACCCAAAGACCCCACTGGACATGGATGTCAAGACCTTTCCTTTTTTTCTCCCACACTGAAGTCCCAGGAGTTGCACTGATAAGAGTGTAAAAAATGCAAAGGGCAGAAATCCAGACACTACCCCAAGAAAATGGGACAACAGCATGCACACACACACCCCCATGTGCCACATACCATGTGCAAAGTTAAGAACCCCACATAATCCTTCTCTCAGTTTGACCTCAAGTAGAGAGGCAATCAAAGAGAAAGATGTAAAGTGTGTCAGTCCTTGTTATGCATATAGCTAAACAGAACCAGATTGTAAAAAAAAAAAAAAAAAAGGAAAAATCTACATCCTCATGTCAAAGGTTTTCCACAGCACAATTCTTACTGAAGTATTTTCAAGGGCTGCATAAACCCCTGGGTAAAAGAGTGTATAATTCAAACTCTGACAGACAATTAACTGTAACCATGTTAACGGGTGTCACTGTAACAAACTGCACTGAACAGCTGCAGAGACAGAATGGGAAGAAAGCAGAGTTATGACAGATGTACACCCTGAAGACAAACTGAAAAACTGGCTTTTCCTGAAAGTAACCCACTAACTGCAATGAAACGAAGACCTAATTATCTCTAGTACACAATAAATTGCTTCAGAACACCTACTGTACAAATGGAAGTGAAGTGTGACACAGTTTAATAAAATGGATAGAAGATGGAGACATTTGGCTTCTACTATTGGGTTCTTTTTAAATAGCTTATTTATAACACCACCCCTTCTTCACTGACACCTGACATCACAAGAAGCTTTTTTGCTTCTACCCTAGACCTAAAACAAAAACAAAAACAAAAAAAAAAAAAAAAAAAAAAAAAGGTGCATCAGAAATAAGCTATTACTAAAATTTACCTGAAACTTTAAAATTCTATTATGGAGCACCATCCACAGTGCAAAGAGTCACAGAACTTAAATCTGGAGGAAAAAAATCCTCCAAGTCTCATGAAACAAAGAAGTACTTGGCAAACAAGGCCAACAGTGTTCTCCACAGGGAATATTTCTACAGAATTCAGCACACCTATTCAAAATTTATCAATATAAGAGAAAAGCACAATTTGGCCATATCAACCCAACACTTCTCAGGAATTCACGTGCTTATTTATGCACCTGTGCAAGCCAGCTCATAATATTAACTTACTGCCTGAGCAGTGGCAGCGAATTATTCCCAAACTGGGGAAGTGAGTGAAACTGACCATCCAAAATCTCAAGTAATGCATAAACTGGGTTCCAAGAATTAATGCAACTCAGCCTGCACCCACTGCAGTTCATCTCTTCCACCTAGGAAATGGTACCAGTTTAGCCATCTCCAGTTGAAAACGGGAGCATGAAGCAGCAGTACTAAACACATGGAGAAATCATTTAAAGGAAACACTGGAAGTTTGAGGGTTTTTTTACTAGGTTCTGTGAATTGGGAATGAAACCAGAGAAGCTGGAAGGGAAATCTGCAGCTGTGAGAGGAAAGGGAAGTTTATTATTATTATTTTATTTTAAACATATGTATTAAACATAGCTCAAAAGCTGGGAGCAAGGGGTATCTGAAGCCAGAGGGAAAATCCTGCCACTAAAACATACAATCCTTGCTGTTTCAACAATATCCCACTGAGTGTGAGAAACGTCTAGAAATAGAATCATAACAAGCATATTTTGGCATAACTTTAATGAAGGTTTTAGGTTTACAAGTGTGGGCAGCTTCTGACTTAGTTAAAAGACAGCACCTGCTTAAAAAGGAAATTATTCCAAATAACAGCTAAAACCTGTCTCTAAAAAATGGGGCTGGCATAAAAGTGTCTTTAGCCTTTGACATTAAAACATCAACTAAGATGTGCTGCTAAATCCTACTGGAATTTCTAATACTTCCATGGCCTGTTTTACTGGGAAGGGGCAGGGAGCGTGCGGGCTGACAGATATCAGGATGCCCCGACTCTCACCTGCCGGTGAACCTAATAAACTTTCTCAGAATAAGGCGAGCAGCTGAGGAGCAGCCGGAGAGAGCCGGCAGGAGGAGTTGGCCGGCGGCAGGCGCTGCTCGCAGGTGCGCTGAGCCCACGGTGCGGGATGGGGCCAGCTCCCCGCAGGCGGAGAGGTACCGAGCCCTCGGGAGTCGCTTCCAACGCGGCACTGCCGCCACAGCCGGTTCCAGCCCGGCCGGGCACCGCTCAGGGCGGCTCTCCTCCTCCTCCTCCTCCTCCTCCCGCAGCGATCTCATCTCGGCACCGCGCCCGCCCAGGGTTCGCGGCAGCGGCGCCGACCCCGGAGCCGCCAGGGCACGGCCGGCTGAGGTCACGGAGCAGCCTCCTGGCCGGGCTACACCTCCCCCGCGGGGGTGGCACTTCCCCGGCCAGCTTCCATGAGAAGCAGCCCGGCTCGCCCCCTCCTTCTCCTCCCTCCCGGCTCCCGCTCCTCCCCGCCGCCGGCCGCACCAATCCGCTCGGCCACGGCCGCAAATCAAACTTGGTGCCCCCGGCTCCGCCGCCTCTCGCTCAAAGCGCTGTCACTGCCGAAAACGGCCACAGCACCTTCCCCGCCCGCCCCCGCGGCCACGCTGCCACCGAGGGGGTGGACGGGACGGCGGATCGAGCGGCAGCTCGGAGACGAGCTCATTTTCTCTGTCCGTCTCTCCTCCCACTCCCAGACAGTTCTGGAAACTGTGTTATCACCTCTTGTCACAGGAAACCAACCAGCAGGCGGTGCAAACAAACAAACACCCTTTGCCTCCACCCTTCCCAAATTCATCCTATCGGGAACGAACGGGCGGGCGCGAACGGGAAGGGAAAAGCAAATTTTAAAAATTTCCACAAATAAAACCAAAACAACCAAACATCCTCCCGGCTGCCCCCCTCTCCCCCCCCCCAAAAAAAAAAAAAACAAAACAAAACCAAACACCACCAAAATTCTCCTGGGAGCTGGCGACTACGCGAGCCCAGGGCTGGGCAGGGTGGCTTTGTCTAAGAGGAACAAGTGGAATGATGGCTGGAGCCGCACTCACCTCCCCAGGGAGAGCGGCCCGTTACACAGCAATGCCGCAGCCCCGCTCCGTCCCGCTCGCCAGGCACCGGGGCAAGAGCCAAACCGCGGAGCTGCCCAGACCGCCGCCCGGGCAAGCTGGGGCGTTCGCCGCCGCTCCCCGCGCTCCCCCCGTGATGTTCCGATCGCGCCCCAACACCGCCGGCCGCCTTTCCGCTCCCTCGCCCACAAACTCCGGCCCGGCCACGCGGATTCGCCCCTCGGCCTGCGCCGGGCAGCAGCAGCGGGAGGGGGCCGGGCCCCCCCCGCGTCCTGCCCAAGTTCGCTGCGCGCCCCCCGGCCCGCTGCCGCTCCACCTCCCGCGGCCGGGGCGGGGGCCGGCGCGCCGGGGTCGCCGTGCACCTGCCGGCCGCTGCCCCGGTGGGGCCGCACGCATTTCCCCGCCTTTTCCCACTCTCAAACACGTGTACTTCGGGGCTCGGGGAAGTTGTTCTCCAGCAGGAGACACCGCGCACCCGTCTGGGGGGACAGAGCCAGCTCTGACAGCTCGGCGCTCCGCGCCTCCAGTGCAGCGCCCACCGGCGCCCATCAAGCGGGAGGCAGACCGGCTACGGCTCTCCCGCTCCGAAAGGCAACTTCTGTTTAATTTCACCGATGAGCAGTTTTTATGCATTCCAAGCATTTACGCCCCCCCCCCCCCAAGCCAAATCCAAGTGCGACCGGGGGGATAAAGGGAGGGAAACAAAGCTGCTCCTGCACACCGAACACCTCCTCTCCCACGCACACCGCTCCCCGCCCGCGGCGAGAGGCGATGGGTCTCGTGGGCATCTGGGTAACACGGTGACACGCAGTGGCCATGACTCTCCCCCACCCGCTTCCTACACATCAGTATCCGAGCAAGACTTGCGCTCTGCCATTGCCATCTGGCTACCAAGTTGCTCCAATGCTTCCTACTTTCCGCGGCGGGCGATACCAGGCGCTGCCCCCGCGGCGCAGCCTGCAGCGACGCCTGGGGCGCAGGGCCGGGGGCACGGCGAGGCACGGCACGGCACGGTGCAGACCGGCACGGCACACCGGCGGCTCACTTGGCCGCTGCACCTGGGCAGCTGCGCGCTGCCCGCTCGCCCGCAGCGGAACAAAAAGGGAGCCGGCAGCGGCAGGTCGCACCGGGCGGCAGCGCTGCCTCCCCTCCCGCCTCCGCCCGCCACAGCCCCGCACAAGTTGCTTGTGGGATAGCGGAGCCGCAACTCGGCCGCCTCCCCTCGCCCCGTACCGAGCGGCGCGGCTCTTGGCGCCATGTTAATGACGTACTATCTTATTTCCACTAGGCAGCGACCTTCGGCACGAAACTGCTCTCCCGCCGCCTCCGGAGCGACAAAAAAACCCCATCAAATATGGCTGTGCTGGCGGCTCCGCGGCTGGCGCTGCGGCGGGCACGGTTACCTGCTGGCGGCGGCGCGGCGGCGACGAGGGCGGGCGGCGCGGCCGGGCTCCCCCTGCGCGGAGGGCTCGGGGCCGCCGCATGAGTTCGGCGCGGCGCCGGGCAGCGGGCACGGAGCGCGGCTCGCTGCGCCACACACACACACACACACTCTCTCACACACACACACACACACACACAGATTCCCTCTGACTGACGTTTGTACTTGTTATGGAGGAAGGACTCCGTGAATCAAACTCGTTTCTGGGTCACTGCTGCCACAGGGGGGAGCTGCTTTAATCCCCTGCCAAAACTGGAAGGCGAGGGAAGGGGGGAGAAATAATAATAATAATGCAGCGCCGGGGTGGGGAGGCGGCGGCGCGGCCCCGGGGGAGCCGCCGTTAACTCTTGGCGGGCCCGGCCGCACCGCGCGGGGCTCCCGCCGCCCCTCGCCGCCGGAGCCCCGGGGGAGCGCGGCCGCCCGGCTCCCACCGCCTCCCGCTCGTTGGAAAACGCAGATGGGAGGCAACGCCGTGCGGCTGGGCAGCTGGGAAATGATACGTGTCTGCACCCGCATCCCGCCCGCGGCACTGCTGGCCTTACCCTGCAACCATTAACGCTTCTCTCCAAAAGATTTAAACCGATTTCGCAAGCAGGAATTCTAGCGCTGCACTGGCTCCCCGTGCAGAACGCGTGAGTCACTATTTGTCAAGCAGAGAAACTGAGGGTACCAAGAGTTAAACGCTGTGGCCACCTGCGTAGCGTATAATTGCCGGGGCAAGAATAAAACTGCACGCTCCCTATTCTCAGCCCCCAGCGTTATCCCTCTGGCTCGTTAACTTTGATACTTCTCAAAGACTAGAAAGAGCCAACACAATCTGCGGTTCAGTTCACATCTCTCTAGCAGGAGAGGAAATTATCTTAAATTGGCACCAAATGACCTACTAAACTTCCCATTACCTAAAATGCGTGTTTGAATGCAGATTTCCTTATTTTTCCACATAAATCGCTTTACCTCACGCCATACACCTGTGCTCCCTGAGTGAAGAACTCCCCCTTTTGAGCAGAATTCCTGAGCAGATATAGTCTGAGGTAATAAACACCACAGAGAAGATTCAGCATAAGCTCAGACACAGAATTAAGGCGATCTGTGTAAAGTAATCCCCATAGTATGCAAATACAAATTAATGCAGCCTCCACAGCAACATCAGTCTGCCAAAGAATCACACCTTAGTTCAGCATGGGAATTGGGTCGTTACTCATCCGTGCAAACCGAGTCATTTCTTCTGCCGTCTCACCCACCCACCCAATAATGAAACAGTACTTACATTGAATCTGCACATCCTAAAAAGTTGTTTTACTACAAAAACATCCTCCCCCCTGGAGATATTCTTTCACTGTGAAAATCAGACAGTCGTGATTTTATTCACAGAACACCCAGAAGCACCTTCAGATTTTTGAGTCCAAGACTTTGATTCCCTTGTTTTCTACTACATGAAAATACAAGAAGGCATGCATTCCCTACTTTCTTCCTGCACTTGCCTTGCCATCCAGACCTGTAAAGATACCTGTTGGCATAGCTTTCTGTACATCAGCAGCTTAATTAGGAACATCCATGATGATCCATGCAACACACCCCGTCACAGTACCTGATAATTATAATAAACTTACTGACACACCCCTGTCACCCTACCCTGAACTTCCAGGGCTGTTAATTTTCAATACTGACTGGAGACTTAGTTGTTCTGTATTTCCCAAACCTGTTGCTGTGCCATGGTATAAACCCCAGAACAGAACAGGGCGGGTTTTCCCCCTCA